GCTGCGTCATCTACACGAAAAAGCCGTCCACATATAGAGGCGCTCTAAAAATAATGAACTGCCACCAGCGGCGACACACGACGTATAGCCCTTAGTACCAGCATACGCTGCCCACGGGAGCACTTCTCATCAACGCCGTCACTACGCACGAGTCTTGCTTCTTGTGGTCATCTACTGAGGCCACGCCGCAGAAAATTTGGTTAGTTAGCCAGCGCACGTTTAGTGCAATTAATATTGGTCCTAAAAATGCTAGCCTTGCTTCGTAAAACATCCGAATAGGTTGCTAACGCATTCATTGCTTCGCCCTTTTGGTGAAACTGACTTTGTTTTGATCTTCCCAGCCAGAAATTTACGCAGTCGACCACACATATACGGGAGGGAACCAGTTAACGTTTCATTGTCTCATCAAACACTCTTCATTTTTCAGGAAATTGGTTTTCTTTCTTAGAAAACAAATAGCATCGCCTCTTCTTCACATCCAAGCTGCTGTTAGTTGATGAGTGTGCACAGGAGTCGAGTATTTTACTTTTGCCGAGCTAAGATAGAAAGAGAAGGTCCCAGCTTTAGTCTCCCATGATGCTATTTCACCTTGTTTATCGTATGCTATAGTCTACAGTGATCGCAGCGACTGACAAATGAGGTAACGGATTCGAGCGCATTGAAAAGCCCTGCTTTCATGTTCGCGCCTGTAGTGCCTGTATCACCGCACTCACTGGTATCCATGTGTTTTATTAGCGATATTACACAATGCATTCGTACCAACTAGCTCGACTTTCCTTACTATATATACTTTAAGTGCGCACTAACCAACCCCAGATAGTCGTAATTGATAGACCCCTCTACTAAGGCCTCGCTCATAATCATGTCGGTTGGAGGCGTAAAATATGGTCAACTACTTTTATTTACGTGTTCCGCTTCTCTGTCCTTCATTGCTTCAATACTATTGAATTATGCGGGTTCAAGCGGGATTTTTGTTTGCTTCGAAGCGCTATACAAAATTATTAGCATTAACTGAACGTTCACAAGGCAGGTGGCTCTGAGCCCAAAATTTGTAGGAAAGCACATAATGCTGAGTTGCATATAAGTGGTCCTATATAAGACCACGCATTGAAAAAAAATCGTATACTGGGTGCGTTTGCTCGAGCCGATGTTTCGACAAGCGGAATTATCTTCTTAAATGGCAGCTGTGAAGAATACAAGTCCATTTGTCAGCTCCAGCAAACCTGCTGACCAATTTTTTCATCACAAGCTTGCGTCTTCCACGCCTGCCGTGTTTTTTTTCTTTTTTAATATCTAGAAAGAGAAGGTTACCTTCTAAAAGTAATGGAGCGATGAGATGGAGCTTGCAGAATATAGTTATCCTTTTTTTTTCTATGAATGTTCAGTGAAGGCTTAAGGGGGTGCATGAATATTGAAATGTTCACCGTCTTGAACACAGGCTGTTTAATTCACTAATGGTGGGTTGTACAAAAAGGAATTGTACTGCCGATTGTGAATTCGCATATACAAACAAAAACTTCATTTATGAATGGCTGTAGTTGGCTACAGATATTTTGGCTTTTTTCTGTATTCTGCTACATAGGGGCTACAAGTTGCCCAGGCTTGTGGTTACGCTGCCTCGTTTGACTTGGCCGCTCTGAATGAATATTTCGTTTAGATGGACACATCGAGACCATAGCTCTACGGAAGTTCCATCTTTCTCTCTTGCATAAGTGTTTTGAGCACTGCCTGACCTCTACGCTGCAGCATCCTATACAACATTAGAGGGCGATGGCCTGACTAGGTAAGTAGCATATTCTTGAAGCCTTGGGCTTAGTACTGTGTGCATATATAAATAAAACAAATAAATACTATATTTCGACGCCTTAATACACTTTTGCTTTCCTTTTCACACGAGTAAATTGATAAGTAAACAAAAAAATGAAGGCAACGAACACTTTACCTACAGATTAGTGAACTATTGGTGAGAAAGAAGTCAAGAGAGGGAACAGTTCTCTCACATAGACCTGACAAAATGATAGCTTGGGCTATAGTTGGTGATCTGGAATCGACACATTTGCACAGCGTGAAACGAACGAGGACATATGGAAGGTCACGACACAGGTGGCGCTCACTTCAACTACATCATTTTATTGGTGAAAACGCGTGAAATACATACGCGTAACAACAGAACACGTCAGCGCAAACGCATCGTGCAAACGCAGAGCAAAACGCAGCGCAGACGCAGAGCAGCCAGATAAGCAATTTTCTTTTCGTAGAAGGCAACAAAAGGCATGCTTACACAGTGCTGTCTCGACGGGCTTGGGCAAGCAGCTCGTGTGCCCTTCTATGCGCTGTGATCTCACCGCTTCGTGCTGGGGTCACTGATACGACAAACTGCACAAAAACCGCTTCTCTCCCACGAGCGGCCGTACTCCCCGGCCCCCACTTTTTTTAGTTACCCGAGATCGGATGTAGAAGAGTTAGCGCCGAACCTGAGGTCGTATGCCGTTAGGACATGTTGCTATTGAATTCAAATGCTTCGTCCTTTCAGCGAACGAGATTTTATTGTTTTTTTTTCGAAATTAAAGGGAGAAATTAGCCTCCCGTCCAAATCTCGAAGTAACCCGTATCCTTACTGAAAAGTTGAATGTTTACTGTTGTTCGCAATAACAGAGCTTGCACAATATCCATTAGAGTTTGGCAGCTACAGCACCGTTAAACCTAGAAGCACCATGTTGACTCTTGGTGGTACGTCTTCATTCCAACAACTAACGTCCATGATCAATGAATAAACAGACCTTTGTCGTAGCTGCAGCAGTTAACGGTGAGAGCGTGAGCGGAGAAATCAGTGTTATTGTCAGAAGACCGTCGCTGAGTGTACGCAGAACTTGGGCTAAGGCCGCCATCCAGCGGCATGTCAAAAGGTTACTGAACACCAAAGACGGCCATAAGTGAAATGCAGTGCGCATCGTGTCTCCTGTCTAGCCAGGCCGCGATTTCTCTAGGGGTGAACGTAAGCGGGGAACGCGATGTTACAGCCAGGCGAGGCTGGCGCACATCGCAGAGTTCTTTTTAATATAGATGAATGCTATGAGCGAGGCCGAAGTTTGGGCTAAGGTCGCCACCTCACCGTATGTTAAGGCGTCGTTGACAGAATTGCACTTGTATTGCAAACTCACCAAATCGGACGGACGTGTAAGAACGATGCTTCGCAGGAACTAATCGCGGAGGTCACGCTCGTGATTCATACTTCACTTTACTGTTTGCAGACGCTGACACCACACAGCCGATCAAAAGCACTAAATGCGAGATATAAGAAGTGCGTTTGTGAAGCTTTCTCAGTGTGTGACCGTTGCGCAGTTGATAGTGTGCCAGCATTTGTTGTCAAGGGCTGAGAGGTCGGGGGGTTTGACAAAACTTTCTTCAACCTTTTCTTTGCGATGTGATCGTGTGCATTTTTTTCTGACGCCATTTTCATGATGGAAACGTCGCTTAAATCTTGGTAGACCCCGGCATAAAACATTTTCGTGTTTAAAAGAGAAAATAAGCAAAAGTCCAACATACCGTTGGTTACACACTGCCTACGGAGAATAAAGTCATTTACATTTCAATCACTTCTGGTTTTATATGTACCAAAGGTATGTGATACTAAGAAACAAGCTTTAGTGCTTGACTTCGTGTAGAACTTGGGCATCTTAGCAAGCTCAGCGAAACAAGCACAATAGAGAGGAACACGTAAACAGGATGGGTTCTATAGCGTCCATCCAGCTTACGTGCTTCGTTATTTTGTGTTTGTTTTACTGCGCTTGCTAAGATGTTCAAGCTCTACATCCACCAAATAGCCCAAATTCCTGCATTCAGGAGACTCCTGGTCAATATACATTAAAAAATGTGAAATAGTTATAGTTCGCTCGGAAACGGAAATACCCGTCAAAGGTTAATGTTTAGCGTTGAAACATATTAGCCTACAGGACTCTTAGTGTAGAGAACAGCCTTTTTCATTACTGATGTTCTCTTCATTACTGATGTATGCTTCAGCTGAAATGGGCGGATTAGCCGTCGCCAAGCGTCTTCGGCTTTTGTGCGTGGTGTGACGGTGAACGCCGTGATTGTCGTAGGTAATTAAGCACTGAAGGTCAACAAATTTCTTATAAACGACAATAAATGGCTGCTTTTATAGAATTCTCATGGGTTACGTTGGGTTTAAGCACAAGGTTTTTCTTGGCGTAGACTAGGGGTAAGGGGGGGGGGGGGCGGTCGAATCTCCATCACCCCATGCAGCCTGATGGGATCTGTCAGAATGGCTGAATGTCTTTTTTTTTTCTCTATGGGGAGTAGTTTCCAACATTTTCGAGGCCAGCCTCGTTTGCAACCTAGGTCACATTTGTACCATCACATTGATTCGCGAATAACCCCGGAGTTTCGTACTAGTACTTATGTTTGCGCTGCGCCCCTTTTTTTTTTCGGGGGTGGTAACCAATGGTAACAACGACAGAGTAATTAAGATGGTTGAACCAGAAAACAAGAAATGACTTGCAAACTTACAACTTTCGTAATGTTCACAGGGGGACTTTGTCTGCGGGAGAATCCAGTGGGGAGAGGGGGAAGGCCAAGTTGCCCGCCCCCTACCCGCACACACTTAGTTTTTGCATGTATAAGCTGTATATATATGTTGATGTCACACACACTGCTTTCGATATCAGACTTCCCATTAGAAGACCGCCCCCTCCCCCCCCCCCCCCTCTCCGCTTTTCGGAAAAATCCAGTAAGACCCCTTTCCCCGCGATCATACGTCCTATGCATGAATGCAATAAGTGAGCAGGATAACTTTAAAGTCGCGGTTAGCGGGCATGCCTACAGTGCTGATAAATTTCGGTTGCATTCACGATGCTCATTCGTTCCGACAAAGAAACATCGAGCTTTTTCGGTGTTACTGGTGCATGATAGAAAAAAGTTGCGAATACGACAACATTCGATGCAGTTGCATGACGAGAAAACGAAATGTTGAAACCACTTACCAGAATCTTTCAGCATCTGAAAATAAGAAAGACAGAGTTACGAAATAACTTTCAGTAAACATCCCTCCGAAGAGAAAGGTTTAGATCAGTGCCTCCTATTTATGTATTCGAAATAAATGTATAGGAGGCACTGGCACATACAATGATAAGGCAGAAATAGCTTTTTTTCTCAGTGACCGCTGCACCGTGTTGTATGATGTAATGCATTTAAAAGTAAATATAAAAATGTTATAACTATAGGTGGTGCATTTTTAGTTGCCCATCGAGTTCTTTATAAATATGATTGAAAACTTGAGAAATTGTCAAAATTCAAACTCGAGACCACGCAGTTTAGAAATTCGTAACTAAGCAACAAAGAAATGATAACACAATTCAGTCAACTGTGTTCAAATACTATACATGTCAAACAAAAATTATAGCATAAAATTTATTGTTCTGAAATAGTGATAATATGGGAGCACAAAATTTTTGCGAAGCAGCACCTGTGCTCCTGTGGGGTAACCAAAAACGTTTTCTCGGGGAGAAAATTTTAAACCGTCCTTTATGCATGTTCATGCGAGTGTTTGTACGAGTATGTGTGCGTGTTAGTGCATACATTTGCAAATTCGGAAAATTTTTTAAGCGGCTACGTCTGTGCTGAGCTGTGTTCTAGTGGCTAAGGTACGCGGCTGCTGACCCGCAGGTCATGGGATAGAATCCCGGCTGTGGTGGCTGCATTTTCGGTGGGGGCGAAAATGCTGTAGTTTCGTGTGCTCAGATTTGGGTGCACGTTAAAGAACCCCAGGTGGTCGAAATTTCTGGAGCCCTCCACTACGGCGTCTCTCATAATCATATGGTGGTTTTGGGACGTCAAACTCCACATATCAATCAATCAAGCTCATTAGCAATGTCGACACTGCAGTGCCCGTATTACGTCCTGCGCAGTTTTTTTTTTACACCAGGAATATTTGTCAAGGACTGTCTGTGCTGGTGCGTCAAACGCTTATTTAAACAGTGAGGGGAGTGAGGGAAAAAAATATTACATAAGGCAAACGTTGAAGTTAACCGAAAGAAAGTGTTCTTGTTTGCTGCCATACAAGGGGGTATGGACAGATAAAATGAGAGACCAGCAGTAGTGTTGATGCAAAGCAGAATGCGTGAAAAAGAAAAGAAAAAGAAAAAAAACGCACGCAACATTCTGAACAGGCGAGATCATCAGCAAAACACGGAACCGGCTTTGCGACACCCATCCTGCGGGATATTGATGAAATGAAGTCACTCACAAAAATCACCAGAAGAGCTGCGCAGATTCTGAAAGCAGTATTCAGATGTGCCATAGCCAAGGTTCTGAGCTCATGAGAGTATAGAGCTAACACAGTTTTACTTGTGCTTGGGCTTGAAAACAAACCAGCATTGGTGGTGTCGCGCAGCCGTGCATCTATATATTATCACTGCCAGCGAGTACAGCGCATTGTTCTGTGATACGACAGGTAGGATAAGGTGCGATACGACATGACAACAAAGAATCCCCAAGCATATGCAACCTTGGAGCGCGAGTGTCTATCGCAGTGAAAAGGAAGAAAGAAAAAGAATGGCGCAGAGGCGACGTTTATAGTTCCTGGTTGGTGTCGCTGACGAGAGGGCTACTGCACTGCTTCCGAGAAAGAGCTTGCGCCAAGATAAAAAAAAAAAAAAGCACTTGAAAGCAACATTGCGCGATTATGCTTCAGTTTGAACAGTCGCCAAATCAAAATGTAGCACGGGGAGATGGGGACTGGAACACTTGAAAGGTGCACTTGTCGCCCCCTCCACTCTCCAAACCATCACTTAACCCCACCCCCTCAAGACACACCGGTGGCTCTCCCTTTCCTCTGTGATGTATACGGATTGGCACCCCCAGGAAAATGCTGCCGACGCCCTTGCACACGCACCGCACGCGTATGTATATTAAGCACCGTTTTCCAAGACGACGATCGTGCAAAATAAGAGGTGATCGCATTTCTCCCACGAGTGTTCTATCTTTTTCTTTTCGGATATGTCCGGTAGAGACAGAGAGATTGCAGGTTCTACTATTAATTATAGAATATCAACTGCTAATATAATATTTGGTAGCACTTTACGTCCCGCGATATTATTATGACAGACGCCGTACCGAAGAGAACCAGAAATTCAGGCAATCTGGGGGTTTTTAAAAGGGCACCTGAATCTAAGCACATATAGGCTCCTATCATCTTGTCCCCAGATCTTAGATATTTCTAAACACAGCGCCGACTTGAGCGAACATTTACAGAAGTGCATGGATGTTTAAAATACTTGTTAGACTTATTCATAATGTTAACGAACTAAACTTGTATTACTAATACAATTAGCACAGCCACATGTGCGCAGTCAACACGGCCAGGATTGTCAGGATTGGATACTTAGCGCCAATTTTGGCTACTTTTTTTTTACGCCGGTGGTGGCACATAGAACGTCTTGGCTGTATACTTTGCTATTTGGTGGCTACTTCCGTAATCCCTCGACTTGAACCGAGTCATCAATATCTTGTGATGTGGCAGCCGCTGGAGAACGAGCATGCGGATTCGAATTATGGCGATCAAGGTGTGTTTAGCAGCTCCCGAAAATTAATTTGGCGCTTGCGAGAAAATACTTTTGAATACATGGCCAACGCCACCCAAGTGATGTTGACGTGACTGATACCAAACTCTGGGAAAAGCGGTTGCACGGGGCCTCGTCTTGAAGGGCGCACATTGCTGAAGGCGAATTTAAACTGTAATTGGAAGTCAGCAGGACAATTGAAAGCGCTCTCTATCTATAGGAAGTCGTCCATATTGGTAATATACAATACCCGACGAACTGACTGTGTTATTTCTTAAAACTAGGTTAGTGGCTCGTGGTTCATCATCGCGCAAGAAATGATTTTGAGGGGGACTGCAATGTACGCTTTATCCTCAACAACTGCGATATTGAGCGCACTCATTATATACAATGCTCTATTTCATTGTCTCCACAAGGCTGATACCTTTAGTCATATTTTAAGAAAACACGGCTTAATACCCGTGAAGAGTGCGCGTCATTTCTGCAACAGCGCCATCACTCTGTACAAGTTGATTGCTGAGGTCAACAGGTTATGTTTTACTCTCAGCAATTGTGGTTTTGAAGGGTTCTTACTGTATCTGTTCACAATTCCACCAAAAAGCTGTCACATTTAGTCGCTGTAGTAAACACGTACGTCGCAGTTGTTTTAACACACGCGTGGCTTAATCTTGTGACTATTTTTACTACCCTTTACTCAAAGTGGCAGTATTTAGCAATTTTTTTTTTCAGTTTCATGGCACCTTTCTTGCCTGGTCGACCTGGTAACCGTGAGAGCAGCCTATATGATAGAGTGTAATTTTATTATACTAATAAATCAACATGTGAATGAATGTTAGACTTCGTCCTTCCTCCGTGATCATAAACATATTTATTGTTCCCACGCTGTTAAAGTCACTAAGCATGCGCATGCCTTCAGCCACTGACACGCGTACAGCGCTATTTGGATGAAAATAGACTAGAGCCCGCTGAGTACAAGTGAATCTACAGTAAGCTCATTTGTTCATTTGTGTTTGCAGAATCGACAAGCGTATATTGGGAAGCCATGCGCTAACATCATGCGGTAATTTCTGGCCGTATTTTCAAGCTCTGTTCAAGGTGACTAAGCTGCTTAGATAAGGCTTCCCTGCTGTCCATGGGCACAGCTTCTATAGAGCGAACACTGAAGCAGACAGCCGTTCGCTCAGAGGCACACAATCTTGTATTTGGAGGAGGGCGTGGTGGGGGGGAGAAAAGGCTTTATGCTATACCTGTGGGTTCACTATCTCGATTTTATGCGTTTAAAACAAGCAATAACACTTTTTTGGTAGATGTGATGGTGCGCTGTGTCAAGCGGTTGAGTAATATAAAAACTCGTACTTACAGTGTTAACGGCAGGTGGTATTATATAACGAACAGATTTCTCTCTACATCCGTATACAGTCGCTTGAAACGAGTGTGCACATTTTGTTATAATCGAAAAAAAATTCTTTTATTTCTGGTTCAGTGCTCTATAAATGTTAAGCAACTCCTAACAAAGGCCCACGCCTTCCAGTCTTCAGTATTTTGAAGCAGTGAAACGGAGAGAGGGGGGATATATTTTATATGACGAATTTTGCATTTTATTTTGTTCTTATCTAGAAAGTGTTAACGTGATGATAAGTGCGGAAAGTAGGCGGGTGTTGCGTTCCAAAGCACCGTGCTGCATGAAGAAACTGTTAACACTACGTGTGAACTGCTGCAGAAGGGAGTTCCACATTAGTTTCACCAAATAAAGTTCGTCATTCAAGGCACCGCGAAATATTAGTATAAAAAGCCATTTCCGCATCGGGGTCAGTCGCACATTCCAGCAAGAAAACCAGCAGAGATGAGAATGAATGTATGAAACCACGCAAGTTCCACTTTGTTCGCGCTGAGGGCCACCTGCAGTGAACAGGGACGGAGCACTTAGCAGAGGGAGAGGGTAGAGCTATCTATGCTTCATTAACGGACGTCATGGAGGCAGCAAGTGGGTGCCGATTGAATGGCTTGAATCTTGTGGCTGTAGCAGAAATGAGAAGCCACTGCGTATTTGGGTATACATCGAGGAGGGCTGTGGGATAAAAGTTTTAGAAACAATTATGGGGGAAACCTGTTCATAGAAACGGGCCAGTATCGAATGTGACGCATTGCGCCGTCACGTGCACGCTCATTGTTACTTTCTTTATTGAGAGAGAAAACTGCGCAGCCGTCGCTGCGGAGCCCTATGGCAATATTTAGTCGAGGAAGGGACCATGACACTGTGAGTCTGCGTTGCACGGATAATTGTCTGTTCCTTGCGCTGCTGCAGTGGGGCTCGAGCCCGGATCCGCTGGGTGCCAGCCCAGTATTCTGCCACTAAGCCACGCCAGTGCTCGGAACTTGTTCGCAAACTTGGCTTAGGCAGGCTTGGTGTCGGGAAAGCAATCGCGTTATTACGACCTTTGAAGCGTTTTAAAGCAGCGAAAGAACAACCAGTCATCGCACAAGGCCAATAGCGTAACGAGTGGGCCATCCAATGCTCCAACCCATTACAAAGGCTTGTTCTTGTTCCCCTATTAACTGTGGCGCATACCCACTTCAGCCATAATTCCTCATCGTCGTCAGCCACTGCATGGACAATTGGCACAATTTTTTTGCAAGTGTTTAGCGGATACCACGCTTCTCAGAATGACGAAAAATAGCATAGCGAATGCTGGTTTACTTCTCCTGAAAATTCTTGTATTATTAATGCCCTAGTGGGTATCAAGGAAGTGTACTTGCAGTAGTTACCCAACGAGTGTTTTGAAAGGCTCTGAAAGGCCGCTCTTCTATAGATTTCGCTGTGACTGTGCTGCGCCTTCCGCGCAGGCTTGGCGTTTTTTAATCAATATTTGATCACCATTTGACCTCGAATAATTAAGACGTTTAGAACGTATTTCGTACTGTATATAGAGTCACAGATTCGAAAAAATTGACCGGCTTTATTAACATGACTTGTAGGCGAGAAAATAAAATTTACTGCAGCGAACTTTATTTTCCCTTCTTTTGTCGGGTAAGTTGATTAACATGGTCTTTTTCTTTCCCGTCCCCCCCCCCTTTTTTTGCAATAGGAACGCACATCGCGACTTAGACAAGGGACAAAGAACAACACTCAAGTGTTTTTTTTTCCTCCGCAAATGGTGAAGAACGGAGCGAAAATACGATACACCAAACGAAGAAAACACTTACGGGTGCCGGACTCGCAACTAATCTTCATTCGGCTGCGGCGGCTGCATTTCCGATGGAGGCGGAAATGTTGTAGGCCCGTGTGCTCAGATTTGGGTGCACGTTAAAGAACCCCAGGTGGTCGAAATTTCCGGAGCCCTCCACTACGGCGTCTCTCATAATCATATGGTGGTTTTGGGACGTTGAACCACACATATCAATCACATATCAATCAAACTAATCTTTATTCATGTCGACTCATTAACAAATGCAGGCACGTGGTCACAAAAAATCAGGTGATACTACACGCAAGTTTTGGTCATGTCTGCCTGCTCAAGTACGATACTTCTTTCTGTTGCAGGGTGACAGACGGAACGCTTATCACGAGTTACTGTTAAAGATGTGAAAACCCTCTCTTATCTCCCGAGTTGCCTTTTAGATGCGGAGCATCTTATACTCGCGCCTTGTAGTGCGCCGTCCGCACCGCTTCTCGAACATTCGACAGCTGACGCGCGCGCATGCGCCGTCGCGCCGTCGCCCACTCTTCCACCATCTGTGCATCCCTTCCTCCTCTACACACAGCGCGCGCTTCACTCCTCCACCACCTGTGCACCCTTCCTCCTCTACACACCGCGTTCGACATCTACAATTCTCCT